ATAATCCCCCTGAAACCCTACATATTTTGTTGACGCTGACGCTAAGTTTCTAGATGTAGAACAGGAGAGAGCTTACAGAGAAGTTCACTTCTGTGTCTGCTGTAATGGTCTGGCAAAGCTGTGGATCTTTAAACAGGAACTGTTTTATACCTCTCAGAAATTACTAACCTGAATCTAATCTGCTGATGTTTAGATACTGAGTTAAAACTACATCTGTAGACTTTATTTGAATTTTGAGTGCTTAGTTGCAGAGCTTCATTAGTGTGTCTGTACCTATAGTGTGTCTCTATTCTGCCCTGCTTCCCTTACTGCCTTCTGAGATTTCTGTTACTGTCTACTACTAACTTGGAAAATTTCAAAATTTACTTCTTTAGGTGCTAAGTGTCAAATCTTTGCCACCTTATTTGTCTTGTTTCTGCATGTTTTTTACAGCACATTTAACTCGGCATAGCTTCATCTGCACACAGAATGATCTTTGTGTGAGGTAGTGGGCAACCTTACTAAAGTCATTGTCTGTGCTTTGTGACTTTCTCTTAAATAGTCCTAAAATGACAGAGAGCTTAAAATGCTCTTTTTTCTTCAACCCCCTCTTTTCCTAATGTGGGACGCTTATTTAAAAGAAAAAAAAATACATCTTGTTTTTATACTGAGTAAAGAATGTACCTTACCATCTTCTTCTGCTTAAGTAACTGAGCATTATTGTTTTATAACTTATTTTTATCTTAAGAGTCTAGAAAGTCCTGTTGGAGCACTGCCTTTGTGCTGTTAAGACTCCAGGATTTTAGGTCAGACTCCCTTGCAGTTAGCTGCAAGTAAATGGACTTTTATATCCAGACCCCCAAGTGAATCCAGCTACTCATACATGATGATTGGCACTGCGATGGCTTAACTGACCTTGTTTTTATGTTGCTTGTTAAGAGTTCGCAGAGCTAGGATTTGAGTATGTTTGTGTTGCTGCACAAAACCCTGAGGCTAACTTGGCTGCGTGGCTGTTCTGAGAGCAGAATGGCTCCTTGAGTGGTGAATTTGGGAGGCTGATGAACAGAGGAGTCAGCAGAGGGTACACGAGCAGGGGAAGGAGAGGAACATCTGAAAGATGGGAGTTCTAAAGGCAATGGCATTTCAGACAAGGACCAAATCACAAAAATATAATGTTTATCATTAACAGCATGATAAATGGTTGAAAAACACCATAAGCTGTATTTATGCAGCTTTAGCTGGAACAGGCCATGTGTGTCAAAACACTGTATGTGACTATAAAAAAGGCATATCTATAAGGATAAAATAATGGATAATGCTATAGGGACTCTTCACATCTCTAGCCCTGAAAGTGGCTTTAAACTTCCTGCCCTTTTGGAAATAATCTTCAGGCCAAGTTGTGCCTTACATTTCACTTTTTATTGGGAAAATTTCTGTGTGTGTGTACCTAATTAAAAGGCAAGATTTATTCCCTTGTCTTTTTTTCCACTTAATTAGCCTAGTCGCTTGGATATTGTATGCCACTGTGTAAAGTATCATTTGTGCATCATGTGAAACTTTAAAAAGTAAAATTTAAAAAATGTTTTACTATTGCCAGAAAGGATTTGATGTCTTCAATGCACTAGACTTAATGGAAAACAAAACATTCCTGGAAAAACTCAAGTTTGGGATTGGAGATGGAAATTTGCAGTATTATTTGTACAACTGGAGGTGTCCTGGAATGGAATCTGAAAAGGTAAGGGAGAAAAAAAGAGCTTCTGAATTCTGTTAGGTATAATGGTGAATTAATCTGCACTGGCCAAAATGGGCAGAAGTTTTAAAATAACTTTTGTAATTGGTCATATTTAAGATCCACAACTGAGGTGCAGAAAACTAATGACGTTTAGATTTATTGCCATACTTGAGTTAAAATACTCTATTTTTTTTCTTCCTTTTAGGTTGGTCTTGTATTACAATGAGGACACTTATGTTTTTGGAACTCTGAGGTCATTGTTTGAGTTAATTTGATCTCCATAACTCTTGGAACAGTATTGTTCAAGAGGAGAAAAAGCACAACGTCAGTGATACTGAAATAGTCCATTAAACCTGAACAATGAAGACATCCATATGTGACCAAATTTATGCATTTTCAGATAGATCAGAAGGTCCATGAAACTCTCTTATTGCCCATGAAAAGAATAAAAGCACATTCATTAAGTTTCAAAGCTTAGCTTGCACCTTGATGAGAAGAAGGTATTTTTTTTCCACTCTGTAGAAAAGACTGTTTTGTACAAACTGAACTTCAGTGGTGGATTAGGGTACAAAAATATTTGCTATTATGTGGATGAACTGCTGCATCTCTATTTATTAAGTGGTGGTGTATGTTTGTCAGTGTAACAGAATGAAGGATACAAACTTGAGTATCTTTGCTTATTTACTTAACATGGATATCATCATTTGGGGGAAAATAATGAAATACGATCCGTTTGTAGCTCTATTGGAAGTCCTGGATGTTTTTGTAACTGGAGCAGTATGACAGTGTACTGGTTTAACTAGTGCATTTGTTTCTCCATAAGCAACGCTGCCAAATCAATAAAAATACAGATTTGTACTTTGATCTTCAATAGATCAGTGGATTGATTTAACAGTATCGCACTGTTCAGTGCAGGTGTTAATCTATATTGCCGGAATGATAATACATTACTGTACTTAATTTACAGTTGTGGCACAAAACCTTAGTTTTTCCTCAGTAGAATAACATCAGCCTGTGTGTAAAACTAAGAATTTTAGTAGTGCTATCAGGATATTTATAGTTTGAATGTTTTCAATGCTTCTGCAAAATTGCACATATTCCTTTGTCTACTTTCATTTCCTATGAAGTCTGTAATTCTAATGAAAAGTATCTTGTGTAAATACGTATTCATAAATTGTTCCTGGTAGTTTTTATCCTGACTTTGGAACAAGAAGTTTTGCTATATAAGTGTCTGGTAAGCAGTAGAGAAGTGCTTTACCCTCAGTCCTTGGAAGTCTGTGTACTGCGCTTCCTGAACTGTAGGAGGGCTGATTTTTGTTGTTGGGAGGAGCTGTTTTAATTCCCTCATGAATGCTCGGCAACCAGAGCAGCTTCTGAAGCACTTTATATGCATTCCAGCATAGCGTCATAGCTAGATATGATGGCAGTTCTTTCAGCTCACGGATGCTGCAGTAACGTGAGCACCAAGAAAATCTGCAGTAAGAACCTGTTCTAGCTGAAAGTGCCAAATTGTGATAGTGAAGCCTCTGTGCTGTGAGCATCTTTTGAATGTGACTTGAATATCTCATGAAATGCAAATGTCTAAACTTTCCTTTTAAACATGCCTGTAATTCTGACGGTTGAATTCTGTACTTGCAAACGTCAATTCAGACGAAGATAAATTTGTTCTTCATAACTGCTAGCCCTACCCACCTCCTTATGGCAGTGGGGTTTTTCTTTCTTCTCACTCCTTTTCCAATGCGTGAATGGTTTGTAGTTTGGTTTCTTTTTCTTGTTGAGTCGTGGTGAGAGGATTCTGCCCTGGAGGCAGTGATAAATACTTTCCCTTATTGCATTATAGCTCTGTGATTAAAGCATTCGACCTCCTTCAAACAAGGGAAGGGATTGAACTGGTTTGTGTGACCCCTGGGTGTGCATGGGCTTGGACCTTGACAAATTTAAAAAGGCTTCAGAGGTGATCTTTCAGACATCTAATGGTGCAGTTGGGCTTTAGAACTTTCGCCACTCTGATACCTGTCTGCTAGTAGCACTCAGAAGAGATGGTGCAGAGGGAGCTTTGACTCCCTGTGTGAGGCCTGAGCAGAATTAAGTGCCTGAAAATGTAATTGATGGCAGTGATATCTAAGGTAACAGGGATTTAATCTCAACTCCATGAAAAACTCCCAAAAGGCAGAAAGGTTCCTTCCTGCCTGGGCATTTGTATTGGAGCCCGCTGGGATGAGGAGGATGTTCACCAAAGGGCTCGGTGCATTCTGCTTTGGCTCTAAAAGCAGAGCCTCAGCAATCCTTCCTCAGCTGCTGCCTAACATGAGGTGGGACAGCAGGGCATAGCTCTGTCCTCCTGGCTAAGGTACTTCCTTGCTAAGAAATGATCATGGCCCAGCTCTCCCTAATCTGGATGGGTGGCCTTGAATGCTACGTGAAAGATATGCTCATGTTCTCTGCCCTTCAAAAAAATGCAAGTGGAAGAAATGGTAGGCAGATATTTTCTCCTCTCTTCTCTGAAATCAGAAGGCAAATCCTCCCCAATACTAGTGCTTGGAAAAGCATTGAGGCGATGATGGGACCAAGTATGTCCAGGTAGAAGATAGATTTGAACCTGGGTTTCCTGCAGCCTGGCTTTCTGCCCTAATCATGGGGTAACTGCATGTGAAGGAAGGAGTGTGGCCACTCTTGTACTGTCTTCAGGGAAAACCGTGCCATTTGCTTCTGAATCTGAGGGGTAAACTTCTCTGTCTCACTTTCTGGCTCATGCTGCATGTTAATTGAGGGGAAAGAGGGCAGAGTTGTGCTCCTGTAGAAGCTGGGCAGTGCTGTAGCTGAGAGAAAACTTACAGGGCGGAGATGATGAGGGAAGCAGGCATCTGAGCCTGAGTGTTGGGGCAGTTGCTGGAGAGTTCTGTTCATGGACTTGTATGTGTTACCTAACAGCTGTGTAATCCAACATGGTCTCTTCTGTCCCTGTTGAGTGCTCAAACCTTGTGGCTAGCCGTGCGCTTCACCTCAAGTGCTTTGCTGAAGTATCAGAGCATCAAGAGGACATGAATCTTGAAGGTGTCCCAGCCAGCACCCATGCAATAAGACAGCTACTCAGGGGGTGGAAATTGTGGCAACTCACTCTCACTTCCTAAGCAGGTGCTTAACAAAAGGTATTATCTGTGTGGGTGCTACTGTCACCAGCTCAATAGGAGAGGCTCTTCTTGTTTCCAAAGTTGCACCTGTCTGTGCTTTAGGCTTGCTGTGAACAGCCACCAGGTAAGACTCCTCAAAACCTAAGAGAGAGTTTTACAAAGATTGGCAAACTTAAGCCTCACTCCACCACCCTTCCCCACCAGTCTTTTGAAATGTCTATAACTGCTTTCCCAGACTTAACCGCCTATCTGAGGAGAAAAACACAAATCCATGAAAAGAGCCATAGACTTGGGCAGGCAATAGAGTGCTTGGAAGGTGATGGCTGCACTTGTGTTCTTTACCAAAGCTAATCCTCGTGCTCTCTTTGAAAGCTAAAATTTAAATGTTACAGCTAGCCAGCATGGGAATTAAATACACCAGCGCTAGCATGCCTTTGAAGTTTCATGCATCCAAAAAGCCAGAACAAAGGACATGTCTGAAGGACTACAAAACAAGGCAAAATAACTTCACCTCTTCCTGCCACCCTCAGCCAGGGAGGGCAAAAAATTCTAGCACTAAATGTCTTAGTGTTGTTTAGACTTCAGGGAGCATCGTGACTATAGAATGATTGCTGCTGCTGCCTCCCGTCGTAGTTGGTATCATGAAATAAAGTCACTTCTAAATAAATCCAAAATACAGATTAGCCATTTGATGGCACTGGAAGTCTGGATTAGCAACTATCTGAAAACTACAACATGTAAATTTAATCGTTAAGGAATAACAAAGTAACTCAGATAAGGTATTTTATGCTTTTTTTTCTACAGTACTGTAGCGACTCTTGTTTAAAATAGAGCACCAAGTAAATTCCTCGGCTGTTGATTCTGATTGTCTGAATTGCAGCATTATTCTCTTTCCTTTATTTTCCATTATTCCAACTGTCTCATGAGGAAACTGTTCATAGTCCTCAGTAAAACTAAAGGAAACTAAAAAGTTACATGATGCTTTCAGTCTTTTAGCAGTTACAGCTGTCATCTACTTTATATACAACAGTATATGGCTTATCTCAGTTTCCTGGGAAATTTTACACTCAAGTTTAGAAATCAGATTGAGTTTAGGCTCGTTTAGATTTTCTCATGGGATGTATATTAACAGTTTGCATACAGAAGACTTTTTTCAAAATGCAGCAGTAGTAATTTGGTTTTGTTCTGTATTTGAAAATAAAGTTCCTTCAGCAGATCAGATACCAGGTATTACATGGAACCCCACCTGCATACATACAACCGAACCAAGTTTATTATTCAGCAGAGCAAACTGCAACAGTTCAAAAAGGAAGTCTGCCTGTGCTGTTACAGCTGTTTACTTGAAACAAGCATTGAAGCAGCTTTTAAAAAGTTATATCAGCATGGATCTTTGTTTAAATAAACTTTCACTTTTGTTATTGATTTGTTTGAATAGTTACACTTAAAATCTGTTTTGCCCGAATCATGTTAATCTGTATAAAAATACAAAGTTTAATGCCTTGCATTAATTCCAAAGATGTACTCATAATGTCTTAAATTATTTCAGCATATTCATTACTGATTTTAACTCTGTGATCTCCAGCTGCACATTAAATATTTACCCCCCAGGTAAAGACTCACACCTGAGTTTGAGCAATATTCTTTATTAACGCAGAAAGTACCTCAACCGAATGCAACATAAGAGTTCACCTTGTATTCACCTGCTTTACACCATAAAGCCCAACAAAATAGTTCAGTTAAAAGTGTACTCCTTACTGCATTAAAAAATCAGTTTAAGATGAAGAACCAAACTAAAATCAGTTATGCTGAAAAAGCTTTTTTCTTTTTGTGAGGCGGTTTCTTTATCTTATTTGGATTTGGAACAACTTTCTTGATTTTCAAAGGCTGCAAAATTACATTTGAAAGATCAAGCTGATTGCTTTCCCTGCGCTTCCGCTTCTGGCTTGTGAGCTCATCCCCCAGCGCCTCTGCAAGCTGCTCGGGTTCCTCGTCTTCTGAAGAATCTGTATGAGCCATGGACTCTTCAGTTCTGTACTGAAACCAGGGCACTTCCAAAGCTGGTATCTTTGGAATTATTGCTTCTATTGCTTCAGTAAATTTATCAGACTGCTTTTTAAAGCCTAGTGCTAAAATGGAGGTTAAGCCAAGAAGTGGTGCAACTGTTTCACTGAGACGGGGAACCTGGCCTGCTGGTGTGGCTCGACTCGCACTCAGCTGGATAAGATGCGATGTGATCATGGCAGGTTTTGCAGACTTGCACACCAGCAAGAGAAGAAGTTCATTTTTTTCCAATGCTTTTGTAACTTCATTAACTCCAATAGCAAGCTGTCTTCGGATGCTTACATCGGTCCATCCTGGTTTTTGTTGATGCCCTTCTGCTTCCTCTTCTTTAGGGAGTTCACTGGTGCTACCATCACACTTTCCTTCCATTTGTTTTTTTGTAACAGAACGTTTTTTCTTTCTTGGAGTCTCAATCTTTTTAAGTCCAATATGTTTAATCCTTTCTTCTAAGGTCCGTAGTATAAAAAGCATATCTTCTCCTTCTATGGTTTTCCATTGAAAAACAAAGGGATTATCTAAACATGTTTTTACAGTGATTTTCTTTGCTTTACGAAGTGTTGCCGTCCCTCGCTGAATTACAGACATCCTGAGGTTGTTTTGTGTTTTACCACCCTAGCTGTGAAGGGAAGAAAGAGGTGAAGTAAACATTGGTTCAAACACTGTACTGTTTGCTGTGGACACGATTACCAGAAGCCTCTCTTGGGAATCCAGAGAGAAACATCACATCTCAAAGCGATACTGGCAACTACCACCCTCCTCACACTAGCTCAGTGCTAATCCTTAACAAATCTCCCACAAGGCACAGATTCTATTGCCTTTAAAAAATGGCAAAAAGCAGCCTGGACAGCAAGGCAGCACTAATGACAAGAGACCCTTCTGAAGCTGAAAGAAAGCAGTTTAGAGGTATTACAGATTTAAAAAAAAAAAAATCAAGATGAAGGACCACTCAGTTTTCATTGTTGCACAGCTGCATTTTAGAAGTATTTTGACATGAAAAAAAATATGCAGAATCACAACATGAAACAAGCTCCAAGTTCCTGAATTTATTTAGCATTTTTTAGCATTTTGTGTTTGTCTGCATTTAGAAGATATGATAGAAATCTACAGTCTCTTCATTTATGCTTTCAGTCAGGGAAGGCAATCCCCTACAGGCCTCCAGAAAGTTTAGAAGGGGTCTTTTGTGTCACCTACACCATGCCTCTAGGGATGAGAAAAATGAAATGAGAGCAGAGAAGGGATCATTATTCTAGCTCTGGTTTATCTAGCCCAGAATAACAGCAAAGACATGAAGGCAGGCCTGATTACAGGCCCTGGTAACTCAGTAAGTCCCCATACTCCTGCTTGGGTTACTATTCACCATCTCCTTGCTACACTAGTACTATCTTCCTCATCATTGCACAGCCAAGCTTACAGAGTAAGAACAGCTCAGGTTTCAAATTAGGAGAAATATGACATGACTCCCTCCTAGGTTTCCTGGTTACCCAAGCAATAGCATTTATGTACATCTCTTGGGTGCCAGCTTTAGACAGTCACTAAATGCCATTTGGCCAGTCATGTCAGTTCTCTGTGTACTAGTAGTAAGCCACCTTGATATAAAAAAAAAAAAAAGGACAAACCCTATCTTCACTGAGATTCTGCCAACAGTATGTACTGCAATAACATCTGTCTTGAGGGATTTTCCCTCAGGTAAACCCTGGTCTGGGAGCCAGCAAGGAAAGTGCATTGAGCAGAGTTGTATCAATGCCATGGGAACTGCTCAGTTGTTAACCCACAATGAGAGTCAAAACCACAGAAGCAGTTTTCAGAGAACAGTAAAACTGAGCGTGTCCCTCTCCCAGTGCTCTCAGAAGAGCCCGTGAAATGCCCTGCAGGGCCACCCAGGCAATGGTCTATCCAGCCCCGTTGTCCATCTCCAACACGGGGAACTGGTGAAACTGTCTGAGGAGGGCAGGGCTGCCCTGGCGCTTCTGGTCATTCATTCCCCACTGCTCCCAAGCACCCAGAACGGCTGCACCGGGGATGGATGCAGTGCTTTACGGAGCTATCGCCCGTGCGGTTATCCAATCCCTTCTGTTCACCATCACAGCGGCAACAACCCACAAGTAGAATCAACTAAAGAATGCAAATGACCACTAAAAAAATCTTACATGTGACTTAGAAATGGAAGCTTAGTATAGCTTAAAAAAAGGGGGGGGGGGGGGGAGGTGTTCTGGGTTTTAGTTTTTAAAAGCTTCGGATGAGGGATGCTCTGATCCCTCCTACAGGTCACAGGGGGTGTCAAGGAAAGCCAGCAACAGAGTAAACCATGAGCGGCTTTACAGCTGAAACATTGTATTTTTATCTTCAAAATGGGCACGACTGAGGAAAACAAGCATGCAGGAATAGGAAATAAAGCAACGAGGAAAAAAAAAACA